TTGAAGGGATTTCCGTATCCAAGTTCAATCCTCTATCTTTTGCCAAGAAAAAAGTTTCGTTCCACCACAAACTCCAAGCTGTGGTGTTATTTTTGCCTTAAGCCCCAAAGTAATGCCAATCCATCAAGGACTGCAACTTCCAAAGCTGGGAGCCAAAATAGCATTTCTCCTTATGAATCAGTAATCTCAGCTACTTTGTTACGGAGACAGCATATTACCTCTCATATGAAAGCACATAAAACCACACACGGGCAACAGCCAGATAAGTAATTATACAGCCATAGCCATTAAAGAACAAGCTTTATTACAAGCCATCAAATCTTTTCCTTCTCTTAAACTAAAATGTAATTACATGTTAACCGCAAAACACACACTCCTACACTACCAGTTAGGATAGTACCTCGCTTCAATTCTAATGTATTTACCAATCCTACTTCTTAAAAACATGAAATGAAAAATTCCCACAACGAAGAATTCTAAACTACTAAAAACATGTTTGAAATCAAAGAGCCATGTAATTCTGAATGCTTTCTCTCTCTTTTTTTTTTTTCTTTAAAACTGGGTGCCAAGAAACTGAGGCCAAAAGTAGAGCAACTCATTGTGAATGTACTGGCTCCCAAGAGCCTGTTTGCAGGTCACTAAACTGGAACTTGGAATACATTCTTCCATTGAAACAATGTGACAAACAGGCCTTCTTTCCCAGGCCTTCCTACCCAGCCTCCTAAGTCGTTTAAAAAGAAAGTGAACATTAGATACTTTAAAACAGACAAATGAAAAACTCTGCAAAAGAATTGATACGTATGTCCTCCTCTTGTCCAGTTCTTACGTCTTCTCCCCGTATTCACATGTAAGCATGATAAACTTATCACTCCAGAAAGTAAGTCTCCCAAGACAGCAGCATTAAATTAAGCTGCACTGCCCGTGGCTATAAGGTACTCTACCCCCCTAAAATCAGTTGTTATTCATATTACATTACAAAATCAGCATTTGTATTTATTACTTTTAAGACTTTGGGGTCTAGAACTGAAAACATTTGTCTAGTATATGTGAGGACCTGAGTTCAAACCTTAGCACCACACTTTAAAAAAAAAAAGAGTTTTGAATTTAGCTTGGTATAGTGGAAATGTTCTTAGGTCCCTGAAATACAGTAGGAAGGGAAGCTGTGTCTGTAAATGCCAGCACCTACTCTTTCCTGGAAAGCACCCATCTAGGCACTGAGAACACAATAAAACATCTTGTAGGGAAAAAAATTAAACTGCAAGAATGACAAGTGACAATCAGAAACTACAACCTCTAACTAAGAATGGAATGAGAAGAGGGGAGGCGACCTGGTCAAGAAGACGAGAGGCTCAAAGAGAAAGAGGCACTGAAGTGGAGAAGATGAGAACAGCCGTCTTTAAAGAAGGTTCGGAGTACATCTCTATCCCGGTGTCAATGGGGAAAGCCTGAAGTAAGCAGGCAGGTGGGGTGTGCAACATGGGGCCTGGAAAAAGAAGCATTTGAGGTTAGACCTATCCCCTGACCAGACTGAAATTCAGAATCTAGTCACCTGAACCAGAAGAGTTTGTAAGACTGGTGGCAGACTACCAGGTCTGTGAACTCTAAGCCACACAGGACTCCATCATCCTTCCTCCCTCCTGCCCTGTGGACCACATCCTGTGGAAAACTGGAAGAGTTCCTCTGCCTTATTTCGCTTGGCCCCTTCTCCCTGCACTGTATCCCACCCATCCCCCCACCAACCCTCACTGGAAATGCAGAGGAGTCAAGCACTGACAGCGAGGGGGGGAGACACCCAAGGATGGTTGCAAAGAACAGAGAAGCATTAAGGGAATCCAATGGCCTCGTGCGCCTAGGCATGGAATCTCAGCTCCCCAGGAGGCTGAAGCAGGGAGGTCACAGGTCCAAGGCCAGCACAGACAATGAAGAGAGGTCCTCTCTCAACAGGAAAGTAAGAAAGCTGGGGATACAGTTTAGTGGCACAGCATATTCCTAACATTATGAGGCCCTCTCGATGCAACCACAGGTACAATCAATCAACAAAATGAACTACCTAGTTAAGGCGAAGAAGTGCAAATCAAATGTTGAGAGCTTACTTGGAGGTTCTAGCAGGGGTGCAGCCACTCATATACCCTTGACAAAGACCAGCCCTCCCCTATTAGGGAAGGTCTTTCTTTTTTACCAACCACACAGCTTAGGAAGGGATGCAGTCAGGGTGGTGAGGGAGGAAGAGGCACCTGCCTAGCCATCTAGATCAATCAAATCAATCCTGGTGATCAATGGGCTGAGAGGTATCACAAGCTGATTACCCTCACTCATATCTAAACACACTGGGAGACTCTTTAGTGGAATGGTCGCTAAGCAACGAATCAAAACAAAACCTAGCTTCTCCGCTAGCAAGAAGTCATGTGTCTTCAGGGAAGTCACTCCAGCTGTCTACCACTTGGTTTCCTCCTGCGGCCTGGCTTCTATCTGCCCACTAAAGCAACAGAGCTTCGCTTCCTGCTCTGGTCTACTGTCCATGTGTACACAGCCCTAAAGCAAGAGGAAACCAAGGCAAACAACGGGCGAGCATCTAAAGATGCTGTGCAACAGCTCATCCTCTCAGCTGGGTGTCACCTAAACACTTCCGAGGACCACCTTACTGCTAGAAAACCCATCACATGAACCTGAGGTCATTTTTCTCTCCTTAAGGTGTCGTCTCTCTAGTTAAACTCTATCTCAAAGATGGGGTACTTCTTAGAATGAGCCAACAAAACTTAGCTGGTTTTTCTCTGGTGTTTATTTATTTGACTTAAAATTCTTTGCAGGTCTCAGATTATAGCTTAGTGGTAGAGCACGAACCTAGCAAATATATGACCCTGGAATGAATCCTCAGCAACACTAAAAGACTAAAAGACTGCCTAGTCCAGTGGTCCCCAACCTTCCTAATGCTGCAACCCTTTACTACGGTTCCTCACATTGTGGCGACGCCCAGCCATAAAATTATTCATTGCTACTTTACAACTATAATTTTGCTAGTTATGGATTTTGTAAATATATATGTTCTCCAATGGTCTTAGGTGATTTCTGTGAAAGGGCCATTTGACACCCAAAGAGGTTGCAACCCGGGTTGAGAACCACTGGCCAAAGAGAGTCTGTGGAGTCAGAGTGAGATTCGGATCTGGCCGTGCCCTTAGGCTAAAATGTAAAGGCAGTCAGCCTTGTGGAGGACGCATTCTTCCCAGGTGTTCTCATTCCCACATCACAGCATAGTTCCAGTTAGATACAGTATTTTTTTTTCTATCTTAAGATTATCTCGCTAAGTGGTGGTGGCACATGCCTTTAATCCAAGCACTTGGGAGGCAGAGATAGATGAATCTCTATGAGTTCTAGGTCAGCCTGATCTACAGAGCAAGTTCTAAGACAGGCTCCAGAAAAAAGAAACAAAAACAAAATCTCAGTATGAAATCACTGACTGGGTCCATTGTATTTATACAACACTGATTTTTCAGATTTTAATAGATTTATACTGAGTTTGATATGCAATCTTAAGTTAGTATAGGTTGAGTACTCCTCATCCAAAAACTTAAAATCTAAAATGATTCAAATCCAAAACATAATGCAAGGGTGATGGAGGAAGGTCATTGGTTAAATAAACTGCTTGGCCCTCATTGGTTAGAAGATAGGTGGGAGGAGTAAACAGAACAGAACGCTGGGAGGAAGAGGAAGTGAGCTCAGACTCCACAGCTCTCCTCTCGGGAGCAGACACCTCAGAGAGACGCCATGCTCCCAGCTCCCAGGCAGACGCACGCGATGAAGCTCCGACCCAGGATGGACATAGGCTAGAATCTTCCCGGTAAGCGCACCTAGGGGTGCTACACAGATGATTAGAAATGGGCTAAATTAATATGTGAGAATTAGCCTAGAAGAGGCTAGATAGAAATGGGCCAAGCAGTGATTAAATGAATACAGTTTGTGTGTTGTTATTTCGGGCATAAGCTAGCCAGGCAGCCGGGGTGCTGGGGAAGCAGCCCCGTTGCCCTTATTACTACGCAAGGGAAATTTTTCATATCTGATATCATTTGGGTGTAGTCAAGACCCAGAAGCACTGAGAACCATGCATTAAATTCCCTTCAGGATATGTGAAGAAGGTAGTATGAGGAACAGATGCTCCCTGTTTAGACTTGGATCTCACCCCAAGATTCATTATGTACATACAAATACCCGACAAGTCCAAAACACGTCACATTCCTGGTCTCTGGCATTTTGAGCAAGGGATACTCAACCTACTCAGCAACGAAGAATGTTTAAAGAAACAACACTGCAAAGATACCCATCACATGAAGGCCCGTGAAGTAAGACGTCCGTTTCCTATCTTTCCAAAGGCTTCAGAGTCCTCTCCTCACGCATGCCCGCTGTTCTCTGCCTCTCAGGGCCTCCTCCACTAAGCAAGACTTTGGAAATGATCTTGACAGGGACCTGTGAGTATGGCTTTTAGATCAACCAAATCAATCCTGGCAAGCAGTGGGCTTGCAGGTATCACAACCTGATTACCCTCATATCTCCCTCGTATCTGTAACACATTGGGAGGCTTTAATGAAATGATCTCTAAGCAACAAATAATAATTTTTAAAAAAACTTGGTTTCTCTTTTGGACACAAGTCATGTCTTCAGGGAAGTCACTGTCTTCTGTCTACCATTTGGTCGCCAAGGGTCTGACTTCCACCTGGCCATGTTATCATTAAATTTGAAAAAAAAAATTTAAATAATCACAACTATTATATAAACAACTTGCTATAACTTAAATGTGAAATTTTCCTACTGGGATTAAAGGCATACAACCACCGCCTGGCAGAACTAGGAGATTTTAAAAGTTAAATTAAACATTTAAATTATGCATTACTAAAATGTTATCAAAGACTGTTAGACTCTCAAAGCAACTGGGCTGACAAACATTTAGTACACTTTAAAGATAGTTTAGAATAAAACTTCATAGTAAAAGGTTCTTAAGAGATTATCACCTTTTTGTTGATGATCGGAACAGACAAGAAATAGTTGGGTTGATAATCTTTCGAGGGTTTTTTCCTCTTCTTTATGTGCTCATTCTTGATGCCTTCATTTTCTTTGCTTCTCTTTGAATTTGCTTGAGGTACGTCAATGACTAGAGGAAAACAAAGATAACCTAGTTGAAAAAGGAAGAAGTCATGCAGTGTATATAATAAGCAGCAATCATATATAATTGTCATTTTCAAATGTAAAGCAGGAGTCGGCAAGAATTTCCATAAAGAACAAAATTGTAAATGGTTTGAGCTTTGCAGACTACAGGGTCTGTCTTGCAGCTACCTAACTCTGACAAAACAAATCAAAGGATATAGCTGTGTCCCAATAAAGCTTTATTTACAAAAAAAGATCAGGCAGATTTATACCTTAGGTAGGGCAACACTAACAAGCATTCTCTACTTCATGCCAAAGGGTTGGATTTTTTTTTTTCTCATTGTTTTTGTTTTGTTTTTTGAGGAAGGGTCTTGCTATATAATCCAATACCCCTTTTTAGGCCACCAAGTTCAAGACTATGAGCATGAGCCATTATGTCTGGCATCATGGTTGTTCTACCACTATGAAAGTGGATTGTTGGTTGGTTGGTTTGTATTTGCTTATTTCACCCATTCCCTGTGACCTAGCTTCCTTCTGCTAGCCCACTTCCTCCTAGCACAATGTCCCACCACTTCCCAGCAAAACTGGTGACCTAGTATTCAGGCCACTGAGGATATTCATGATCCAAACTGTAGCAAGTGGATCATGTCAGACAGGCTCTAATATAAATTTACAAATCTCTCCATAGGCTAAAGAGGAGACAATGTGAGCATCAAATTGAATAAAAAATTTGGTAGTGTGAATTTTATCAGATATGATCAAACCCACCATTTCATAATGATTCTAAAAAGAAAAAATTAAAACCAGAATTCAGTTACGTGTGGAGAAGTCAGAGAACCATTATTCTAAAAAATAATCACTCATGTGTACATGGTACAATTTTATACCCATATAGTGTGTTTGGGGTTTTCTGCCTTTAATCCAGTGCCCTTTGACACACTCCACCTGTGACACTGTGAGCCACCGTCATGTTTTCTCTTGTTTATAGGATCTTCTTGGTATTTACCAAGTTTATCTGTAGAATCAAAACACAGCATCTCTCTGCTTTCTCACTCCCTGACTTCATTTTCCTCCCAACTTTGGGAACACAGTCTGTGTTCCGAAGCACAGCTTGCTGTTATTCCATTTGCTTGCTTTCACATGAAAAGATAAAAAGCAAATATTTATATAATCATTTAGTTTACTGATAAAATCGGTGACTTGAGGTCACAAAGTGCAAAAAACTTTGGCTGTCTGCCCTGAATCTTTCACCAGATTATTTATAGTAATTTTACTGGTTAGCAAAAAGTCATCCGTGGAAATATAGCTTGCAAACTCATAAACTTAATTATTATACTTGTTAATTTTCATAATGACTTTAGTAGCCTTTTACTGTACACTGATAAACTTGATGTCAGTGACAAGGGCCATTACTTTCTCAACCGCAGATTTTTTTTTAACCAAAGCACCACGTGTCATCTTATGTAAATTATCTAATTTCTCCTCAATTCTATTTATTCATTCAAAAACTACAAAGGAGTGAATTAGAAGAGAAATTAATTTAATTTAACAGATTAAGTACTCCATCTGTTATTGTGGGTTGATTGTTTCCACACTTGCTCTTAATTAAAATGCTGAGAATAAATTAGAGTTTGTTTTGATGTTTCCTTTCTTGTTACTTAAGCAGATAAAAATCTTTCAAGTAGGGGCTGGAGAGATGGCTCAGAGGTTAAGAGCATTGCCTCCTCTTCCAAAGGTCCTGAGTTCAATTCCCAGCAACCACACGGTGGCTCACAACCATCTGTAATGGGGTCTGCTGCCCTCTTCCGGCCTGCAGGCATACACACAAACAGAGTACTGTATACATAATAAATAAAGAAATATTTTAAAAAAAAAAATCTTTCAAGTAGGCTGGGAGTGACTCTGTTCACCTGCAAGTCGAGGACTTGGGAAGGCTAAGGCGGAAAGCTACTGAGTTCAAGGCCAACCGGGGCTACTATCTTAAGAGTCACTATCTTAAAAAAAAAAAAAAATAGAGTTCGAGACCAGCCTGGTCTACAGAGTTAGTTCCAGGACAGGCTCCAAAGCCACAGAGAAACCCTGTCTCGAAAAACCAAAAAAATAAATAAATAAATAAAATAAATAAAATAAAATAAAATTAAAAAAAAAAACCTAGTCACCTTAGTCACCTAGTGATATCACAACCATCTGAGTTGGCAGCATTCTCTATGATATTCAGACAAATAATAATAGCCTAATGGGTCAGCCCACCCTGACATCTACCCCATCTACAGTGCTTGGGGGACTGGTCCTGTAGAATAATAACCACGGGATGTTCAAGACTCAGGGCAACAACAGGACATCTGAGAGGAGTTTGGTGCAGGTCCAGTGATGATGGTGTGCCAGAGGACTTGAACCAGACCAATGACTCACTGCAGGGAACATTTTGTGGGTGGGGCTGACTGGACACAAGGGTCTACTGAGTGACACACAGCAGCAGCACCCAGTGCCACTAGGAGCAGCGAAGAGGTATTGGAAAGATGGAGGGTCAGGTAGTGTCGTGAATGTGTGTTGTTTTTAATTGATTTGGGAATGGAGGTTTCTTTGGGGAGGATGCTGCAGGGGTGAAGGGAGGGTATGGAGAGACTGGGAGGTGAGCAGGAATGGGGTGCATGATGTGAAACTCCAAAGAATCAATAAAGAATTACATTATAAAAAAAATAGCCTAGTCTCAGAGCATAGCCATTCATTATGCAGGACACATTACTGTATGCAGCATTTGTCTTCCCAACTAATTATATAAAGGACACAGAACATAATTTATCTCTTTTTTAACTGACACAGCATAATCGCTGATATCTGTATATACTAAGATAAATCTTTTCTATACAAAAAAATTAGATGATTTCTGTTTTATATTTTAAATTTTTAAAGATATGCCTTAACTAGTTAATAGATAATAAAATGGTCATTTTCTTTATCTCAAAATCCTTAATAGGTATATTAGAACTGTGTAAAGAAGCCCGGCACGGTGATGCATGCTTACGTTCCAATGCTTATTAGGGCAGGAGGATCAGAGAAGTTCAGCCAGTCTTAACTACATAATGACTGTGAAGCTGCTCTGAGGGCCAGGAGACGGTCTCAAAACATACACACATATGAACAAAACGAATTTTGAAGACATAAAATGGTGTAGGAGGTCCTTCTGTCTGTGTGTTGCTTTTCTTGGTTAATGAATAAAGAAATTGCCTTGACCTGTTGATAGGGCAGAACTTAGGTAAGCAAGGAAGATGGAACTGAATGCTGGGAGAAAGAAGGGTGGAGTAAGAGACACCATGGAGCTGCCACCACTGGAGACAGACATGCTAAAACTTTGCTGGTAGGCCACGACTTCGTGGTAATGCACAGGTTAATGGAGATGGGTTAAATTAAGTTGTAAGAGTTGAGCTCCCGGGGCTGGAGAGATGGCTCAGAGGTTAAGAGCGTTGCCTGCTCTTCCAAAAGTCCTGAGTTCAATTCCCAGCAACCACATGGTGGCTCACAACCATCTGTACTGAAGTCTAGTGCCCTCTTCTGGCCTACAGGCATACACACAGACAGAATATTGTATACATAATAAATAAATAAATATTAGAAAAAAAAGGCAGAAGAAGGGAGAAGATGAGCAAAGAAGTCAGGACCACAAGGGGTTGGTCCACCAGCTGAGGCAGTGTGCCTGTTCTATAGGAGCTCACCAAATCCAACTGGACTGGGTCTGAATGAGTATGTGATCAAACCGAACTCTTTGATTGTGGCTGACAATGGGGGTTGACTGAGAAGCCTTTGATAAAGGCATTGGGACTTGTTGTTACGGCATGTTCTGGCTTTGGGGGACCCTAGTCTATATGGATGCATAGCTCCCTAGGCCTGGATGTAGGGGGGAGGGCCTTGGACTTCCCACAGAGCAGGGTTCCCTGCCCTTTCTCAAACAGGGTAGGAGAGGGAGGACGGGGTATGGGGGAGTGTGAGGGGAATGGGAGGAGGGGAGGAAGTGTAAATAATTGAATGGAAAAATTTTTTTTTAAAGTTAAAAAATAAAAAGAAATATAATAAATAAATATAAATATAAAAATAAAAATAAATAAAAGTTAGAGCTAATGGGCCAAGCAGTGATTTAATTAATACAGTTTTTGTGTGGTTATTTCAGGGCTAAGCTTGCCTGGCGGCCGGGACAAACAAGCAGGCCCTCCTCCTACAATAAAATAAGGATTAACAGCTTCTATAAAGCTGAATTTCACATTTAGGAAAGCCATGTAACTAGAAACCAACTCTTAAATATTTTGTTATGAATCTTGATTTAAATGTGGGCGGGAGAGATAGCGCAACAGGTCAGGGTGCTTGCCACGAAGCCTGAGAGTCTGAGTTCAATTCTCAGGACCTACATAGAGAAGCGAGAGAACCGATTCCCTCAGGTTGTCCTCTGACCTCCACATGTGTTTTGGCATGCACACACTCATACCTATCTACCTACATACATGCAGACATACATATATATCCACACAAACAAAAAAGTGTAATTTTTAAAATGTTGCTTGACTGTTTAGAATTGACAATCTAGATTACTATGATCAGTGAAACTAAAACTCTCCCCATCTCCTGTGGGAAGCAGGCTGGGCTATTCCCATCAGCAAAATGACTCCCATCCCCCATTCAGCGCCAAAGAACAGCAACAGCAAACATTTTCTGGATGTTTCCTGGGTTTCTAGCCAATTTGTGATCTATGAGTTTTAACAACAAAGAATCAGATAACTGTTAGCACTCAAAAGCATGACAAGTATTTAAAATGAAATAAAGATGAAGTGCATGACTAAATGTACTGTCCAATGCTTCTAAATAGTTGTTTAAATAATACAGTACTTACTTCCACAATCATCTTGAATGTCTACAGTAGCAAACGGCATGTCCGTCAGGGAGTCCACAGTGCTGGCTTCTAATTCCCCTGAGACTTTGTCTTTGCTTAACACGCTTTCACATTCGTGGGAATTTATTTCTCCTATAACAAACCAGAGAAAGAAACAAAGATTGTCCAATTGTTGAACTCCTATCCAGAAACCAAAACACCTCAGCTAAGCGAACAATATATAGCAACCTGCATGAAGAGAGGCTATGACTTGCTCTTTTAGCACAGGCTTGTTTTTTTGTTTGTTTGTTTGTTTGTTGTTTGTTTTTCAAGTCAGGGTTTCTCTGTGGTTTTGGAGCCTGTCCTGGAACTAGCTCTTGTAGACCAGGCTGGTCTCGAACTCACAGAGATCTGCCTGCCTCTGCCTCCCGAGTGCTGGGATTAAAGGCGTGCGCCACCATCACCCGGCCACAGACTTGTTTTTAAAGGTGCATTTTGACATTAAACAGTAAGCTTTCAGGGCTGGAGGGATGGTTAAGAGGTTAAGCGCACTGGCTGCTCTTCAGAGGTCCTGAATTCATTTCCCAGCAACCACATGGGGGCTTACAGCCATCTGTACTAAGATCTAGTGCCCTCTTCTGTCATGCAGGTGTACATGCAAGCAGAACACTGTGTACTTAATAAATAAATCTTTAATTAAAAAACAAAACAGTAAGCTTTCTAAAGCTTTAGTCCTTTTCTGAAGTGCAGTGCTCAATCCAGCATAGATGACAAGAGAGAAAATCTATAATCTTCCATCTTTTAAAAGCCACATTTTTTCACATCTTCTGTCAACAAATGGCAACAAAGTGTTCACTTGTTTATTGTGTCTTCTCATGTTCATTTTCAGTAATGTTAGCTATATAGGGAACTTTAAAATGTATCATTTAATGTTTTTATTAGCATATATTAATTACACATTACAGGTTTCATTATGACATTTACATACATGACGGTCACACACACATAGACACACGCACGCACACACTTTGCCCTCTCATCCCTTCTCACTCCCATTTTGTGTTCTAATCTCTATAAGCTCTAATCTTTTTTTTTTCTTCCATAAATTCTTCCACTCCACCATTAAACTTAACACTGGGAATCTAGTTAAAAATACTTGAGGCGGCTTAGTGGGTAAAGGCTCCTGCCGGGAAGGTCTGGCCACCTGAGCTGGATCCCCAGAACCATGAATGGGTAGAGAAAACTGATTCTGATTGTTTCCTGACCTCCATCCATAGGTCACAGCACACATATCCTCCCACATATGCAAGAGATTGTTCAATACATGGTTCTAACTATGCATTTATGAAATTCAGCTATGAGACTCGAATCACCTTCACAGTGTTTTGTAACAGCCCTCCCATGTCATGCACTAAGTCACACTTCACATTTGGTCTTTGTCTTCTTGTTACGGGTGGAACAGCCACAATGTTGTGGGTGGAGGGCTAAGGAAAGGAAGACTTCAACTGATAAAGTTAATGCCAAGTTTACCTGTCAGTGGTCTCCCGGTACCATTATTCACCATACCTCTAGTGATAGCCACAAATGTTACTTGGACTGAAGAAAACCCAGGACTACTTACATAATTTTCACCCGGTGTAATCAGTGAAGACCAACCTACCCTGAAGACTATAAAAGAAAACATGCATTTCCTGCTGCTGTAATCCTCTATTTTCAAATGCAATAATTGCAGAACACATTTCATTAAGAATATGGCTTACATGCCTGGAGAGATGGCTCAGGGGTTAAGAGAACTGGCTGCTCTTCCAGAAGATCTGGTTCAGTTCCCAGTACCCACATGGCTCAGAGCAATCTGTTAATTCCAGTTCCAGAGGATCCAACACCTTCTCCTGACTTCCAAAGGCACTGCAAACTTCTAGTACACAGATATAAGACACAGCAAATGAGGCAGACGCCCAAAATAAAATAATAAATCTGAAGGAGAAGGAGGTGGCTCCTTACAGGGCTAGAGACATGGCACAGTGGTTAATAGCACTTGCTGCTCTTCCAGAGAACCTGGGTTCATTTCCCAGTGTCCAGCTCTAAGCACCCACATCTAGAAACTCACCCACTGCCTGTAAACTCTAGTTCTGGAAATTTCACACTCTCTTCTAGCCTCCTTAGGCACCTGGATACTCAACCATACATACATTCAGGAGCACTTGTACACATAGTCACGTGTATGTACAAACACGCACATATACACACACATGCACATATTATAAGTAAATCTTTTAAAATATAAATGTATATATAATGTGTATGTGTGTATATATGTGTATGTGATATACATATATAATTTATACACACACATATATAAAATCACTTACTTATCCAGGGAAATAGTTCAGAAGTATAGTACCTCATATGAACAAGGCCCTAGTTTCAATCTCTGGCATCCCAAAAATCTAAATAAATAAAACAAAAAAAGAATATTGTCTGCAAACTGGGACAGTCCAGGCTGTAATCC